GTGCATTTTTCTTTGTTAGAACAATTTAGATTGCTCCTCAACCCCATACTTAAATAGAATACTTAAAAGTACATTTAGTTATATCAACTCATAGTTAATAAGTGCTTACAATGTGCCTAATCCTGTGCTAAGCACAATAAAGATACAAAAACATCAGTATAAGAAAATCTCCATTTATACATGTTCTAGCTGGAGAAGAATACAAGATAAAAATAATTTAGCAGTTAGAAAATAAAATCATATAAAACAAACAAGAGTTAGATGAGCTAGGGATACAAGTTGACAAGAAGTATGGGCATTTATTCAGAAACCATGTCACTCTCTTTTTTTTTTTTTTGAGACAGAGTTTTACTCTGTTGTTCTGCTCAGAGTATAGTGGGTGTCATCGTAGCTCACTGCAACCTCATACTCCTGGGCTCAAGTGATCCTCCTGCCTCAGCCTCCCAGGTAGCTTGGACTACAGGTGCGTGCCACTTAGCCTGGCTAATTTTTCTATTTTTAGTAGAGATGGGGTCTCGCTCTTGCTCAGGTTGGTCTCAAACTCCTGAGCTCAAGTGATTCTCCCGCCGGCCTCCCAGCGTGCTAGGATTACAGGTGTGAGCCACTGTGCCAGGCCCCGTGTCTCCTATAATTTCTTTTTTTATTGTCCTCATTACCTAGAGCAAAAAAGGCATACTAAAAAAGGTGGCAGGCTGGGTGCGGTGGCTTACACCTGTAATCCTAGCATTCTGGGAGGCGGAGCGGGGAGGATCGCTTGAGGTCAGGAGTTCGAGACTAGCCTGAGCAAGAGCGAGACCCCATCTCTACTAAAAATAGAAAAAAATTAGCCGGGCATGGTGGCTCGAGCCTGTAGTCTCAGCTACTCAGGAGGCTGAGGCAGGAGGATCGCTTGAACCCAGGAGTTTGAGGTTACTGTGAGCTAGGCTGACGGCACAGCACTCTAGCCTGGGTGACAGAGTGAGACTCTGTCTCTTAGGGAAAAAAAAAAAAAGAGGTGGCAAAAGAACTTTTTCTTATAATAAAATTTCACTTTATAAAAGGTATAAAAGTATTAATATCATTCTATTTATGTAACTCTTATATTTTTAATTAGGGCAGAAATAATTCTCTAGATTTTACTTCAGCCAGAAACTATTCACATTCTTTATCTAATTACACATTGATTATTCTATGTGGTATGGTATTCTATCCTTCAGTCTCAGAAAGAGTATTTCCCAGATGGAAGACGGCAGAAAGTATATTTATTATGAAATAACATTTTGGCTTAAATCTCCCTTAAAGATAGAAGAACTATATTTCTAAATGCATTGGACTCATTTTGCCACAGGTGCTCAAAGTAGACAAGGGCAGCGAAGATACCTACCAACAATGAGAACATATTCAAAACACTAACCTAAAACCAGATGCCAGGTTTAAGGACTATCAGTCACTGGATTATTCATACTCCCGATTATAGAAACATGAATGTGTGTAAATGAATCATCATAACCTATCACTATTATTAATGTAGGCTCTTCATGTGTTCCCATGTTTTAGAAACACCAGATATATAATTAAAAGCAAATATAGATGAATGCATAATATAAGCTTCCTAAATCATCACTATCCCATTTGAGAAATGACGCAGAATTCGACTTTAGAAATATAAAGAGAAGGCTTGTTTAATTTTACATTTCTATCATCTCCTTATAACTTTAGGAATATTCCCCAGACAGTATATGGCACGCACTGTTAAAAATCCCTATACTCTGATATCTAACTATCTGTTTCACTAGGTGCCAGTCAGAAAAGTGAACCATATATATTCGATTAATTAGATAGATAACTCTTACACTACATGACACAGGTTTATACCTTTCCTGAAGTCATAAACCTGCCAGTGATGTCAACGCCAACAGCTTCTGCAGATATTTTCTCATTGTTCACACAAGGTTCGGATTTACCAGAACTGCTTTTCTTTCTTTGTTGTGATGGAGTCTAAAAGAAAAAAAACGTATTAGCCAAAATAACGAATTTTGTGTGAAAGCATAAAATACGTTAAAATTCATTATCATTTGAATTTTCACATATGAACTGTAACTGACAAATAATGAGGCTTTATTGAGACTGACTACATGTCTTTTAAAAACCAAAAAGTGATGAAAATGCATTATGTTTGTACTGTTAATTTAGGACTAGCATTTCCAAATCACAGAGGTGTAAAAATAAGTGACTAGTATGTAAAATAAACATAAACTTTATAAGGGTACTCAAATCTGTGAATAATGCAGTATTTGCACTATATAATAATTCACCGTCTAGGGTATTGATTTTATACATTAAAATACTGAGCCACTTAACATAAATTACCATTAAAATCTATTCATAAAATTACCTTCTCAAGACTACTCAATTCCTTGTGCTTTTTCATCACACAATTCAAAATGTCACAAACAATTTGGATTTTCCATTCTGCAAACCCACATTGGATAAATTGCTTTTTTGTCAAAATTGGTTTATAATTAAATTGATCACGAAGAAGCTGCAAAGAACAAACAGATCAATGTAATAATTAGAAATTTCTTTTTAAAATCCAAAATGATAAATGGCCACCTTTCAGAGGACAAGGAGGATCAGGCCATTAACTACAGC